GCAGCGAGAGTGGAGAGAGAGAGGCACACTCATCAACGGCTGCTATCCTCTAATGTACATACTCTAACGCCGACCCCGCTAAAACACCAAAGGCCGTCACACCGTCCCTTCCGCAGCGGGCTATACTTCGTCTCAGGCCGCCTCCTCTCCCGCCCCCAAACGGGAGTGAGAGTGAGAGAGCCGCATCCCGAGGGGATTGCGCGGCCGGCCGTCATTGGCTGGGAAGGGGACACGGTGTGGCAAAGCGAGCAGGGCCTGCCGCTCTAGCCCAGCAGGAAGTAAGCCTTGGCCGTGTCGACGGCCGACGCAGTCACCTCGTCTACGTCGAGCGCCTTGAGCGCCGGGAAGGGCCGCGGCTCTGGGCCCGTACTGACGATGACCGTCTCTCCAACACGGACCTCAAAGACACCTCGGCGCGGACGTTCGGCGTTGATGCTCACTTGCAGCGGCGTGTCAGTGCCATCGAGCGCTGCCTCAATCCCGCCGGCAATCTTTTTCGCCCGCGTTTTGAAGACAGATCATTGCTTGCATGCCTCAATCTCGACCGCGGGAAAGGCGAGCACAGCTGCATCGACGGGCGGCGCAGGCTGAAGCGCTGTTGCCGCCTCGTCGGGAAGGCTCAGCCGAGCAATCAGGTCGGCTTTGCGCCCCGACACGGGCAGGCCTGCGCTACGCAGCTTCTCCTTGAGCTGCACGACGGTGCAGCTGGCGAGGTTTTCACTGGCGCACATGCGAGTCGAAGGCACGGATAGCCGAACAGCGGCCAGCATCGGCCACATCACCCGCATTGCTGCGAGCCGAGCAGGCCGCCCTGCCTGAGCACTGGCCTGGTTTGGCCGCGCCAACAGGGGGCGGAAAGAATTTTCCGCGCGCGCGTGACAAGCGCGGAGTCTCAAAATGAGCCTAGGCGGCTCCAAGCTTGGGCAAAAAACGAGTCCGGCGGATAACATAATCATCATGAAGTTTCTATCTATACCGTACGTCACGACTCGCGGGGGGGGCCGGCACTCTCCCTCCGCCAGCCGCGGTCCTGCAAAGCAAGCAAAAGCGCCGCGTCGCCCTCCCTGCCGGAGGGCGCGCCGCTTGAGCTCTGCGGCCCGCCTCTGCGCGGAGGGCGCGCTGGCGGCGGCCGCGAGGCGCGCGGCCTAGACCCTGTTCCAGTAGGTTCCGCGGCGGAGCGAGTTGATGTCGCCGATGTACTTGAGGTTGGAGCCGATGGCGGCGAAGGAGACCTCCTGGTCCCAGCAGACCTTGTCGGCGACGCGCTTGACGTCGGCGGCGGTGATGTCGTCGACGCGGGCGAGCGTCTCGGCGAGGTTCATCCGGCGGCCAAAGGTGAGCAGCTGCCGCCCGATCTCCTCCGCGGTGGGGGAGGTCCCTGTGGGGCGGTGTCGAGGGCGCGTCAGACTGCGAGGGGAGAGACAGAGTGGCCGCTCGTCCTTGGGCTCGCGGCAAGAGGGAGGCGACCGGCGGCGTGTGCTGGCCGCGGAGGGAGGGAGTCTGTTCCGCATCTAGGGCTGCGGTGCCGTCCATCTGCTGCAGCAGGTTGTACTTGAGCTGCGCCTGCGGGCGGGCGGGGGCAGATGCGTCGGTGGACGGTGGGACGCGGTGCCGTCGGGGCGGCGGCGGAGCGGGCGAGGCGGCTCTCGAGAGAAAGAGGGCAGCGTGAAGCGTCTCGGAAGTGTCTCGGGAGCGTCTCGGGATGGCACTCAGACCTTTCCGCGCGCGAGGTCCTCGTCGCTCACCCCCTGCGTGAGCGCGAGCATCTCGTCCTGCGGCAAGGCGGAGGCGGGGTTAGGCAGAGGCAGGGTGAGGCAGAGGCAAGGTGAGAGCGCCTCTGGCAGGGGGCTGCCTGCCCCCCGCAACTTCACGTCTACAGATTGGCAGGAGCCCCGCGGCACTCGGGGTGCGTGCCCGAAGGTGTGTGGGGCGGGTGCGGTGGGATGCTGGCGGCGCCTGCAGGATCTGGAACAGCGTCGAGTAATCGTCGTAAGAGTCGAGGTTCGCCGTCACGTACACGCCGAAGAGGCCCGTGTCGTTGTAGCAGGTGCAAAAGGGCTGCACCTGCTCCGCGACCTGCGGCAGGGAGGAGCAGGGCGTGGGGCGGCACACGGGAGAGGCGGCGCGAGCACACCGGGGAGCGTGTGTGTGTGTGTGTTTGGGGGGTCGGAGGGGCGCGTGCTCCGTCAGAGAGGTGGAGAGGGTGCGGCCGAGACTTGCGCTTGTCGATGGCGAGCACCATCGCGGCCAATCTCGGCCGGCCTCGGCTCCTCTCGCGCGCACCTTGTACTTGTCGAGGGCGAGCACCATTGGCGCGGTCGCGTACTGCATGTTTGACGACTTCTTGTCGTAGGTGCCCAGCAGCGACTGGCACAGCATCAGCGTAAACACGTCGGGGTCCGTCCACTTGAGACCCTCGAAGGCGAGCGCGAAGTTGGCGGCCGGCATGTCCTCCTTGAAGTCGCGCACGTCCGCGCCGCAAAAGAGGGAGGCGTGGTTCTCGTAGTCGTGGCCCGCAGGCGCGACGGTGGGCACGCCGCCAAAGTACTCGCTCGCGAGGTCGAGGACCTGGACGAGGGCGGGGAGAGGGTCAGCCGACAGTCCGAGGCCTCACCCTCTCGCGAGGCCGGCGGCATCGTGGAAAGCGTTGCTGCTGCTACCGCTCCTACTGCTGGCGCCTGGTCGTGCTCGACGGCGCCCGCGGCGGCGAGCACCATGCGCGGCGCCGTGTAGTGCGTCTTGACGTAGCGACTGATGTCGTCCGCGGTGATCGAGTTGATGTTCTCGGTCGGCCCGAGGATCGTGCGCGCGAGCGGCGTGCCGACGTACGCCACCTCGTGCAGCCGGTCGAAGACCACCTCCTCGATCTGGCTCTCGACCTCCTCCATCTCGCGCAGAATCACCTGCCGCTCGTTCTCCACCGCCGCCTGCGCGCGGCGCACCGACATCGCTCAGGTCCCGCCTTTCGCGGACGGCGCGGCGGGGCGCGGCGGCTGCCGCGCGCAGCGGCAACGATGGCGTGCCGGCGGCGGCGGCGGCGGCGTGCGGCCGCTGCGCTGAGCGCGCAGCCCAGGGGAGAACAGGCGCATGAGCGCGCGCAGGCGCGGAGCGGTCGGGGTTGCGGCGCGCGCCGGGCTGAAGGTCGAGTTTAGCAGGATATCGGACAGCAGCTCCACCGCCCTCGGCACGTCCTGCTTGAGCACCTTGGCATAGTACACCGTCTGCTCGCGCGAGGTGTACGCGTTGAGGTGCCCTCCCATGTTCTCCACCTCCATCTCCAGCTGCCGCGTGTTCCGCTTGGCGGTGCCCTTGAACGACATGTGCTCCAGGAAGTGAGCCACGCCGTTCGTGGCGTCGGACTCATACCGGCTGCCAGTGTCTATCCAGACTCCCAGCGTAGCAGTGTCACCGCCTGTGCTCTCTGTGGCGACGCGCATCTGGTTCGGCATCGTCGCCACGTGGGTGGGCGGCTGCACTGCCGCGACGGCGCTGCTGTACGCGCGCGCCGCGGGCCTGGCGACGCGTCGCTGCGCCAGTCTGGTGAGCTTTAGCTGCATTGCGTCGAGCGCTGCTGACTTGGGAAAGAAACAGCGCGGTACCCGCAGAGGTGCCCCATCTGTTTTCCTTTCCTTTTCTCTCTATTTTTTCTATTTTCGCACGAAATCGTCAAATTTTGGGGGCCCTGTCCCCTGAGCCGAGTCTGAGGCTGGTTTGGGCCCAAAATCAGCCAAATCGGCAAAATACCGGGTATTTTGCGGGTGTACCTGGAAAACCCCGGGTATACCTGGAAAATACCCTGCGACCGCCTGGGTATCGTGCCGATTTCCTCAATTTTGCGTCAGATTTTGCCCCAGACCAGCTCTCAGACTCAGGGAAACTCGCGAGTTTCCAGAATGGAGGACCAAACACCCTCTGTTTTCCCTGGAAATTTCCGGAAACGCAAAGTGCTGGGGACCCTCTGTTTTCCTTTTTGTTTGCCGGAAAAGCTTGTGCAGGCCAAAGCGGCCGGCGGCACGCCCGCCTCCGTTGGCCACTCCTACGCCTTTGGTAACACCGAAGAGAAGGCCCGCCGCCTGAACATGGGCTGCAAGGCGCGCGGGCAGCCCGGCCAACCCTTCTGCTTCTCCCACAAGAACGGCCACGGCTACGTCAAGGCGCATCGCGGTCTCTACCACGACGCGATCTTTGTCAAGCGCAACAACTTCAACCTGCTGCTCCACGAGACGTTCGGCGGCGGCTTTGCGCCCACCGCCGTTCTCAAGCTGCGCCGCCTCGCGCGCAAAGTCGCGCGCGGCAGCGTTGACCGCACAGCCTACTCGCCCAAGTACTGGCGCTCTCTTTTATGTCCCACCATGCAGAGCGCATCTCTCTCTCTGTTGTGCGAGGCGTGAACCGCGCCATTCGCTCTCACCTGGCAACCCTGTCTGCACGTCTCGCGCGCGCGTGAACAGGGCTTCAGGCCCCAAATGACGTGTGAGTGTTAGAGTTGTTTGTGTTTGCCCTGTTGAGGTCGGGCGTCACTTTTCTGAGTGGTGCCCGTCCAGCCGCAAACGCGGCGCCCCGAAATGCTGGTCAATCTGGGGGGTCTTTCGACCGAGTCTGTGAGTCCTGGCCGCCTCCCGGTGAAGGGCGGTGGTGGCAAGGTTAGCAACCGAGCTCTCGAACGGAGAGGGGAGAGTACGGTGTACGGGTGCTCCAGGGGATCCAGGCAGGGGGTCACGACACGCATCCTCTCTCTCTCTCCGACCCTTCACGAACCGAAAGATAGGTAGGTAGGTTGGGGACGACACTGCTTCTGCAGCGTGCACCTCGATCCTGAAGCTGTAACCGTGTATGTATGTAATCGCCGTGCGTGTTTGTTATGATGTGTTTGTTACGATGAACACACCAGTGAGGGAGGGCGAGACGATCGAGGGGTCCCGTACCATGCGGAATCGACCCTATCCAGTGCTCAAGTGCTCAAGGTAGGCTGGTCAATATGGCGCCCTATCCGGCTTGGAGCCTGAACCCTGGCGGTGTGTGCGTTCTGCGTTGTCGGTAATCGCCAGCCAACGTCCAACGATTGGCTCGACTCTTTCAGACTTCCCTACCCCACCCTCGCCGTCGCCGTTTCCGGCCGGTTCGCGTCGGCGGGCACATGCCCACGACCGACGTCTACCGCGAGGCGGAGAAGCGGTGGCGCCACTCGCTCCAGGAGCCCGGCGAGGAACTAATCGACTTTGAGCTCGCCGACGATCGAGTCCGCCGGGTGGATGTGGCGGCCGACGCGCCCGACTGGCTGCGCGGCGCGCAGCTGTACGCGTTGTGTGGTGTCGATGGCTTCCGCTTCCTTCGCTGCCCGTTCTCGCCAGAGGAGGAGCTCCGCTGGAGCCACGCCGCCCTCGCCGCATGGACGGAGCCCGAGGCGAGCGAGTCCAACCTCGACCTGACGCACGCCGGCGAGCGGGGCGCGCTGTGGGCGCAGCACGAGGCGGCGCCGTCCTCGTCGGCGCTGCGGCACCTGAGCTGGGTCACGCTCGGCTACCACTACCAGTGGAGCGAGAGGCGGTACGATGAGGCGAGGCGCTCCCCCTTCCCGCCGGCGCTCGGCGCGCTAGGTGCTCGCATGCACACCACGGCCCGCAGATGAGCCTGTCGCTCATAACATGCACCGCGCTCACGCACACACG